TATAAAAACCAGCAAACTTGAAAGAGTGAATTATTGGAAAAAATAGAGATTTTCATTTGTAGGCAAGGGGACTGTAGAGTTAAATGAGCCTGGTTTGCCAGTTCTGCTTTTGCTGTGTAAATGACCTTGAGTTAACTTCCCTGCTGAGTTTCAATTTCCCTGTCTACAAAGTGAGGGAAACACCAGCTACTTCCTAGGGTTATAGAGAATCAAGTAGTGAGTGGGAAGCTCTCAGTAAATGGTAGCTCCTGTTTCTGAAACAGTACTGTTATACTCTATCTTAGAGTAAATATTTTTATATTTGTAGTATTTGTATATATATATTTCCTATCTCTTGCACTAATCATAAACATAAGCCCTGCAGGTTAGGAACTCTGTACTTCTCATCTTTGTATTTTAAACATCCAGCTCTTACCAACACACATAAAATGAATGTGCATTGTGTGTTGAATGAAATAATAATGAAGCCTCAATTTTTACTGACTGACTTGATAAGAAATTCATTTTTTTTTCAGTTTCTTGTATATAAATTAAAACTTTGCAGTTATTTTCAGATCATTGTTAGGAACATATTTTCTTCTTGCTCTTATATTTACAAATGATGACTTTTAATATATCACTTTGCATTGGAAGCTTGAGTGAAAGTGTGGGTGTGTTTTTAACATGTTATCAATAATGAGTAATTGCCCCCCCCCCTTTTTTCAGGGAAGTGGTTCAAGCAAACTGCGTTCACTGGAGAAAGAAGTTCTCATTTATGTGCAAAATGAGTGCCAGTGCTGCCACAGGAATCCTCGACCCATGTATCTACAGAGTATCTGTGAGGAAGGTATAAAAAGAGCCTATTACTCCTCCCATTTTAGAAGCCATAATTCCATAATTGCTGACTCGTTTTATTTAGCTCTGCTTTTGGGTTAGAACTGTGGTGATTCATATATAATTTTACTTCACAATTACAGCAATAATTTAAATTCCTATGACAAATATGATGAAGAATCTGAAGTTATAAATTAAAATATTCAAGAACCCTCATCTCACTACCACTATTCATGAATATTGACTTTATTTACATTAGTTTGGGGACTATGTATGTCTATATTCTGCCATTTATTAAGTTCTTGTTCTTTGATAGGCATTGTTCTAGGAACTTTATAAATATCATATCTAATAACAGCTCTCTAATTAGGTGTTATTTTCTTCATTTTCAGGCAAACTAAAGTTCAAAGAAGTTATTTGCCCAAATTTACATTGTTAATAAAGGAGAAGGAGGAACTCTTAACACAGACTTTTCTAATTACAAATACATGTTTTGTTTTTTATATTTCTTTTCCACATATTAGACTGAAGTATATTACCAATAATCCACAAATGTGATAATGTCATCTTGTGTGATGCTGCCTTTCAGGGTAAAAAAAAGAGGAATCCATTAGTCACCACTACTAGTGAATTAATAAACTCTGGCTTTAAAATATAAACTTTGGCCAGGTGTAGTGGCACATGCCTATATTCCCAGCAACTTGGGAGGATGAGGCAGGAGGACTACAAGTTCAAAGCCAGCCTCAACAATCTAGTGAGTCCCTAAGCAACTTAGCAAGACCCTGT